AACGAAGTCCTCAAATAGCAGGGCACCCATCGAACTCTCATTGTATAATTCGGTTAACCAAGAATGTTCAACTAGTTCATAATCTTCCAACATCTTACTCCAACCTTGCTCAAATTCCTCACAACTTTGCACGTCATACACCAGGTGATGCACGGCAGAAAGAATAGAAGCTTTATTTGTATGGCCGCCGAATTTTTCTGGTAATTTTTTCAGGATATGCCACAAGCACCACCTATGTTTTGTGTTTGGAAACACGATTCCAATTGCGTTTTGCATAGCTCGATCCTGATCCGTAATAATTCCACTTGGAGCTCGATCATGCATGCACTCAAGCCAGGTTCTGAATAATCATACAAAAGTACTTGTATCCTCATTTGAGACCAAACCACATCCAAGTAAAATTGACTGTCCATGGCGGTTTACTCCAACAAAGGGAGCAAAAGGCATTTCGTACTTATTAGTTAAGTACGTGATGTCAAACGTTACTACATCCCCAAATTCCTTACATGCTTGCCTACACCTATTATTTGCTCAGAAAACGTTTCTCAAGCGAGCATCCTCATCCAAGTCTATATTGAAATAGAAGTCAGGACTACTTGCCTGCATCCTCGAAAAATAAGCTTGTATTGCAGCAGCGTCTCCTTCCCCAAGCCTCAATCGACGTACTTTGTCAATGAAATTTCTACAATCCTTCTCCACACATGCAATCTTTTCATAACCACCGGCTTCAACTACGGCTGAGTTAAAACTCTTGTGCAATGGTATACCAGCGATGTCATTTATTTCAAGCTGCCTTTTAACTCGTGCATTGATTTGACGATTACATCGATATAGCCATGATTTTGAAGGTCTAGTTTTGTGATTATGCTCCAAATGAACCGTGTTAATACACCAAATTCCATTGATGCCAGAACATGCCGTTAATCTCGCTTTGCACCTAGTTTGAATGGTTGGTCGAGGCTTCAAAACTGCATTTGCCCCACTGGTTCTATGACCTTCCCGACTACATGTAAAGGTTACATAACGTACAACCCCATCGTCACCCTTCTTCGAATTTCTTTTCCTTACGGGAAAACCAATTTGGTAAGCATAGTTTTTGTAAAACTCAAACACCTCTTTCTCATTCTTAAACTTCATTCCAACACTGGGCACAATAATGTCCGTTCCTTCCAACGAGCTCTTCTCATTCGGATTATCATCTTCGGACGAAAGATTTTCCAAATATCCTACATTGACAAAAAAAAATGACAACAATCAAAAATTAAAAGGCAATATTGTGATGGCACAAGTAGTAGGGACATTTCAAACACAAACAATAAGTTCATAAGAGAGGAAGACTGCCACATAATATGCATATAATTCTCTATAAATCAGTGTGTTCTCTATAATCACATTTAGCCCCATCATTCGATGCTACAAGGAAGATTGCGGGCTTAAGCAATTCAAATTCTTCAACTTTACAAAATCAATTGCTTTTCAATACTTTTTCTGTACATGATAAGCTAAATGGGTAAAACTATATTTTGTTTTTATACTAGCAATATAAGAGTCTCACAATCCATGCAGCAAAGTTTCTAGTTTGTACTTGCAAACCATGCAGCCAAGTGTCTAGTTTCTACTTGCAATCCCGACAGCCAAAATGTTTAATAAATATTTATTTCTTAAACTTAAGTCACTTTTGTCTATATGCACATTAGTTTGACTAACGAACAAACAGGAGTAGCAATCTTCTTGATGAAATACTGCTAATACATACACTTCACTAGACACTTGAGAAAATGATTCACTTTCTGGGACGATGAAGTAGGCTGCTGGCAGCAAGCTTGCCATTCTCTGGAGATTGGGGAAAAGTCAAGTTACACATTGTATCCTTAACTGATGTAGCCAACTATGTTAAATTGTTGAGTAGTTAGTGAAAGGAGTACTTCCCAGCTATAACAACTCATTAGAAGGTGATAAAATGGAGCTAAATCAAAATCATATCAACCAAGGCCTTAATATTGGGATTGAGAAGTGCATGTTGAATTGAAGAGGCTATCCTCCGAAAAATGAAAGAAATGTAGAAAAAAAATTTCCAACAGAATGTTAAGCTACAAACTCAAATGCTTCGGCTGGAAGAAGAGTAAGGTGGAAGAATCGTACCCATATCGTCCCCAACCTCGAAGTTGCCGCCGTCGAAGTCATCGTCTTCCATTTCGTCTCGGGTAAAGGATGACCGATGCGTGTAAAGGATGGGGGTAAACGTTTCATCGTTGCCGGCGTCAAGGTTGTCGGAACCGACGTCTCCAACATAGTTGAATGAAAGCGCTGGAGGTTCCATTGGCGTAGAGAGGAGAGGCTCAGCGAGCGGGAGCGTAGAGAGAAGAGGCTAGGTTAAAATTGGGACTTCTATTACTTAAATGACGATGACAAAATAAAAAAAAAAAAAACAAAAAAATAAAATAAAATAACAAAACCCACGATATTTTGACAGGATTAAACTATTTTGACTTTTCAAACTTAAACAGTAGCAAGCTGTAAACCTTTCTGTGAAGCCTCAGTTCTTCTAGCAGTGTCCTTAATAAAATGTAGGCTTTTTTCTTTTATTAATATATAGAAGTGAAATGGTTTCTTATGGGATACTGAATTATATATGATCGATGGTAAATTGATCATTTCATCCTCCGTCATGTGAATTTAAGAAGCCAAGTGGTATCTTTCATTCACTCAAACTTGTTCCCACCCGTCTTTTTCTATTGCTATAGAACAATGTTATTTGTATATGATGGAGTTACATAATGGTTTAAATATAGATAAGTTGTTTAAAAAAAAAAAATTGAACAAAGAATTGAAAGAAGTGGGTTTTTTTTTTTTTTTTTGGGTTGAAGAATTTTTTACCACAATCGTATGTCACCATATTACATGTATGTAAATCATTATGTACATATATCATAATTGAATTTTCAAGGGTAAGGCGTGGATTCGAGTTCGTTTATACATCTTTGGTGTGAAGCACTCAACAAGCAAGTGTTCATGTACCAAATGTCACAAGTTTCATCCATAATTGTAAAGTCACACTGATTATGGTCAGAGATATACCGACGGTATTCACAGATCTTTGCTGTAAAAGAGCGGTTGTTGAGGTGAAATAGATCGATTCTCAACCAGGTGTCTATGAACACGAGTTCCCATCCGTTTTTCCTAGATATTAGAGAGTCGAGACTTCTTAATGATCTGTTAATGGCAATATCTCAAGGGAAATCACTCGTGTGGAGATGCATTTGTCTTCAATATTGCATTGGCATCGTTGTATATAGCTACTAAATTGCAAATACTGCTAGAACTATCATGGAAACAGCCAAGAGCTTGTTTGTCATGTTGAATGTCCCTTTTACATGATTATTGTATGTAATTATTATGATTTCTCCAATGTATTTAATGTTTGATTAATTAATTATTGTTTTAGTGACTAATTATAATTTTAATTTTGGACGCTCTAGACGATCGACTAGCTTAATAAAATTCGTTATAATATGCACATAATCCTATTAAAATGATAATTAATTAAAATATTTTTTATTGTATGTTATAATTTTATGACTTGCTATTTTTAAATTAACGGAAATAATCATTTTTCTTTCATATTAGGTAAACTCTATTCAATTTACCATAATAATAGAAATAGGGGTTAGGGCTAGCTGATGGAAACAATATAGTGGAGTTTTGATAATCTAATTTGAATAATAGTATTGGAAAAAAGAATTTTTTCTATTTTCATAAAACAAAGACTTTATTATATGTACATCAATTTATGATTAATACAATTTGACACTCAATTATTGGACAGTTTAAAATACATTCGACTTTTTCATCAAATCGTTTCACTACGCATCATTTTCGGACACACTTTCAAGATGTCATTTTCTGGACAAATAGCATAATCCAAATAAGGACTTACCATCCTCATAATGTATAGACCAAAATATTTCCATTACATTGTTGCTACATCTCCTTGGGATTTCACCATTGTTCGAGCCCCCTTAGCCCCAGTTTGACAACCTTTAAAATTTAAATTGTTTGCTACAATATCATTCTTCATTGTACGTTCATACAATAAAATATTCTACATACAAATCAATAAAGTTGTTTTACTTTTTAATCACATATTCTCCAAAAATACTATTCAAAACTCTTTAATTTTTCAAATACGGGATGTCAAACAGGGCCTTAATAAGGTAATATTGTTATTTCATTTAGCACTTAATTTGATGGTTGAAGTTGTATTTTACAATATAATGATTTTTGCATTTTTGGTTGAATTATGTGAATAATTATATCTTTCATATCTAAATATACTAACGTACAAATATATATGTATATAGGTACATATTTATGATTAAATCTCTTAATTTATTTAAACTCCATTTGAAGTTGCTACATCACTTCCTTGATTTTTTTTTTTTTTTTTTTTTTTTTTTTTTTTTTTTTTTTCCAAAACTTTTAAGTGTTTAATTTACTATTTCTATTTCCTTGTATGTTTATTTGACTCTTTTTGACATATAAGTAATTTCAATGCAATAATTATAGCCCTAAAGATAAATAGATATTTAAATACATGAATGTTTTATATTAATTATCAAAACTATAACACAATTAACTTTGATATTTATGCTCTAAAATAATTATGCATTTATTGTTTGATCGAAATATATTTTTCAAATGACATTCGTACAACAAAGAAACGGAATTTATTTTCAATAATTAATCATAAAGACCCATATGCAAAAATTTAAGCATTAGCATTTGACTATGCATTAAAATGTTTTGATTATAGTATGCATAAAGTATATTTTTACTGTGCACTTTAATGTAGTTGAACTATCAATGTAAATAAATGAATAAAGATGAAAATTTTAGAAGTTTCTTAATAAATGTTTATGACTTCGGATTCTTGGCATGTTATTTCATAGGTAACTAAGGACATCTCCACTATAATTTTAAAAGTAAATTGTTAATTATTCTATCTAAGAAAGACTCCTCATTCATTTGTGTATAAAGTTGAATATATAAATATGTTACATAAATATAAGCTTGCTAGTAAGTGATTAGATTTTCCTTCAACATAATAAGCATTAAAGACCTTCATTTATGAAAAGAATTTTAGAAACTTTTATACTGAATAAAGACATAAAACAATTAAGTTAAATGTTACCTTTATTATACAAAATAAAGTCAATGAACACAGACAAGTACACACAAGTTTACATCTCCCTCATATGGAGAGGGACTCACATGTAATAAAATATTCATTGCCCCCTCCATGTGAGGGGGGTGTAAGGTTGTGTGTACACCATCAGGTGTACACACAGCATTATCCACACAGGCAATTAATTTCTAGTGAACAACTACCAAACTAAGAACAAAATAACTTTCGGCAATTAATTTCCTATTTTTAACTACCAAACTAAGAACAAAATTTAGTAAATAGACCTGTTACTGAAAAACCTGGATTTTAAAACTCAATTCGCTGGTGAACGGACACACAAATCTTGATCATAGCTTGATACAAATAGAGAGGTCTACTTGTATATCGGGGTTGACACCTCGGTGTATAAATCTCCTCACAATAGAGGGGAGGGAGGGCATGATGGGTGCCAACCCCTATGTACAAATAGAAAACCCATACATATAGCAGAATTTCAATATAATTTAATAAATATACAACATGCATTCAATTAACTTTTCCTTTGAGGGGATAAAATTATCCAATTTGAATACCTAAATGATAAAATATAGAAGCATAAGGAGAGCCAAACAGCAAATCAATTAAGGAAATGACGGTGAAGCACTATTTTCAATTTTAGTGCATGAATCATGGAAGAGTATTCATAATCAACAATTGCAATAATTATCGTACATGACATTTTATGTGGCAAAATATTATTAAAAATTATTCCTTTTTAAAATTATAAAAATCATGCCACGTATGATGATTAATGCAATTGCTGACTATGAATAACATTATTGATAAAGAAATTTCAAATGGTGAAACAATAGGTTAATCACTTGGCAGAGAAAAAGACACGTAACAATTTCCAGAATCTTAAATCTAATTTCTTCAATTTAGGTAAATGTACTTGTGAATAAATATTTTATTTATCTGTACAATCGAAAAGAAAGACAAGATAAAAGCTAATAGTAAAAATAGATATATTGTGTAATTTAATATGAGCTATAAAACTATAAACATATTAAACTTAAATTTATACGCATGTTGATTATTTAGGACATATAAGGTACATCTCACTGTAAAAAATGTACTTAGTCATAACGAAGATAATTATATTAATTAAGCAATAAATATAACATTAATGAAATTAATTTAAGTAGACATGATAATTACGAAAAACAAGCTTATGACATTACATCTACTATACTATGTTTAACCACCTTATTTCAAAACAGCATTCTAAAAGCGGCTATTAGGTGCAAAGCGGACGCAAAACACCCTGTATCACTTTTTAACTTTTTTTTTTTTTTTTTAAATTATCTTTCCATTTTTTTATATTTTTCCGTGCCTAGGCATGTCTGGGCTGGCTTTCTTTTTTCTTTTTTTTTATGCTTTTCAACGTTTTAATTAAAAAAAAATTAAATTAATTTAACAATTTAAATAATATTAAAAATATATATACACAAAGCAAATTTAAAGGGGCTTGCTTGGTGTACATAATTTTTTGTACATCAAGGTGTCCCACACTCACATGGGGTGGGGTCTGTTGGAATTGTTGTTCAAACATTCAATGAAAAACGAAGTGGAAATATAAACCGAAAATGGAAGGCCAAAACTACTATATCTATGCGACCGCATGAATCCTCAATATGTGGTCGCATGTGGCATTTAGGCCCTGCATTTTGGGAACCTATGCGGTCGCATAGGATTCTTCTATGCGACTGCATAGAAGGGGAAAGTGACCGTTGGGCAATTTTTAGTTTCAAAATTGGCGGCCTTTCAATTATGTTTTGGCACCACTTCCCATAGACTTATTTTATGGCTATATATAGGTGATTTATGATCATTTCAAGGAAGTGAAAAACCATTACAAACATATGAGAAACATTATTTTCATTCCACAAAAATGATCAAACATCCTTTCTTCCATATTCAATTCTTCCCTCTTGTGTTCTTCAAGTTCGGGTAGAAAATCATTTGTGCTTTTGTGATTTTCTACAACAAGGCTTGATCAATCCTTCAAACTATTTGCCGCGAGACTCTTTAAGCACCAAAATTGCTACAAAGAGGGGGCAAATATCGTTTGAGGACAACGATATAATGTCGTGTCTGAGCCTTTCATGTTCGATTTGTTCTTTACGTTTATTTCATCTTCTTGATTTTATGGTTGTTGGTTCTTCTCCATTTTCTCCGATTGATGCAAAATTTTCAACAATCTCAAACGATATTTGTGTGATGGAGAATGAAATATGGCAACAGTCAAGTTGATGGAGTGAGACTTCGTTCGTGAGGATTGTTTGATGGCATTAACTTCGCAAAATGGTTCAACTTGTAGAAGAATATTAATCCAGATCTTTTGTAAGTCGAAATTGCTCTCCAAATTTGATAAGTTGAAATTGCGTTTCGATTTCACGCATACATACGGTACGTGAATATAATATGCACAACATCTGTGATATATTTTGTGTTCGTTGTGCATAATAATCTGAAATTATACACGGTTTAATTTTGGAAGAACTAAGATTGCCATTTTGTCGAATCCTCTGCATGAAATGCATGACGGTTAAAAATAATTTATTAATTTCTGAAATGGCGTGATCTTTTGAAATTATGTTATCCAGTTGCATGCATTTTCTGGATTAAAGAACGGAAACACTTTTAAGGAAATTATAATTAGTTTTTGCCGACCCATGGGACATTTGGAAATTATGTCACCATTTGACGACCCCAAAATAATTGACTGTATACCAATTCCATATGTTGGCCATTTATTTTCTGACATAATTTTAATCCAATGGGTGTATTCATTTATTTTGTGCCAAAGTTGCATGAAATTAAAGATGTTTGGTCATTGCGAAGCATGTTGGTTGATATATATATATATATATATATATATATATATATATATATATGAATGTTTAGTTGATTGACAGTTATTATGAAACTGTGAGATAATCCATCCATCTGTTTGTATATGATAAAAAATGTAGTATCATATATGGTTTCAACCGTTAATACATGGCTAACCCAGCATATGTTTGTCCAAGATAGTTGACTTATTTTGAAAAGGTGCATATGGTTTCATGCAATTGTGATAGAAACGAAATCTACTCGGCACAATGATTGTTCAATGATTAACTTGTTATGCATGTGATATATTACATGAACCCACTTAAAAAATCAGATTGAATGTGAATTTATACTCACGTTATATCATTTCCAAATTTTGGCACTTTCTTTATAGGAAAGTTGTTTGTTAGAAATGATGAAAGGAATCATGAGAATTCGGTTATGCATAATGATGGCATGCATGAAAATATGGGAAAGGCATAAATCAAATGACAGATTTTATTTTAATTTAGTTTGGTTCTTTGGTACATTTTAATTGACATTATACATGTGAAATTATTGGAAGAATGCCAACTATATGTTGAAAGTATATGAATCTCCATTTCTTTGTTGAGATATGAGAATGACATGATATTGCTCGTACGGGAAAATTCTAAAGAGTTAGAATTTTATGAAAGAAATTATTTGAACTTTCATGACCATTTCTTCTGCTAGAAAACTAAAATTACATATGGATTACTTCATCTTGACGAATGTTATTACATTTAAAATTAAAACAAATTGGTTATTCTCACTTTGTTGTGACAATTGGAATGGTTCATATACATGAATATTAAAGAATGCAATTCAAACCAATTGTGGTGGCTGGAGATCTATTTGACCATGGTTGTTATTCGATGATTAATTCCAATATTTGATCTGTCACATTTGCTTGGATGATACACAAACCCACTTGGGCAGTCCACATGTTTCTATAGGGCATCATTTATTACATGGTGCATTTACCATTATGTTGGCTTGTGGACTCCGAAGTGCAAGTAAAATACATTCATATTTGTGTTTTGAGACCAGCCTGTTAATATTTAATGGGTCTAAAGGATGTGAATAAATGTGGAGGGATGCCTACTATTTGTTGAAAGTACGTGAAATTTCATACTTCTTCTATTGGAATATGAGAATTACATGATAAATCTAATGGTTGATTTCATGTCCTATTGGAATGTTGATAGCTACAATTAAGTGAGATAATCTTATGCAAAAATGTGTTTGCATAGAAATGTGATTTTGATCAACTATGAATAAGGTGAACATGTACCTTATTATTTGATGTAATATGATTCTATCTTGTGAAAGTGATAAATTGCATATGATTGGAGAAATTGCAATTCTTGTAAATCAAGAAGTATAGTCCTATTCGTTATTGGATTTGACTTCAATTATGGAACCAAATTGAGTTGGTTTATGTTTGAAAAGCATTAATGGTCTATGAGATGACCTTGATCAAAGTGAATTGAACTATGAAAGAGTTGATGAACTCTAAGTTCAATTACAATTCCAAATGTGGGGGTTGACATATTGATGAATTCTAAGTTCGAGTATAACTCGAAATGTGGGGGTTAACATTAAATACTTGTGAAGTTATACGAGAAGTTCAAGACTTATGGATGCAATATTACAAGATCGCATATAAATTCCTAAGTGAGGAATTGTGGGGGAAACTTGATTTAATAATTACAGTTGCTTATACCTTTTAATCATATTAAGATATCTACGAAGGGAGAAAAGGTAGAAAAGCCCTTATGATTATAATTATAAGGATGGAATACACTAAGTCTAAGTGGATGAATTGGGTGAAAGTTGATCATGGCACTTGCAAAACCAATTGGAATATTTAAATAATATTCACAAATTGAATACTCATTTGTGAAATCCACAAAATTTAAAGTGAGTGACTAGTGTACTGGCTGATAAAATTCTTCCAACTATATTTGGAAATCTATAAGCTTTGAATGAAGCTAAGTGAAAGAGTTCTTGGTGGTAACAAGTTGTATCTATCAAATGAATCGATCATTGGCTAGTTATACTTTGATAAGATACTAAGTCACATGAAATGAAAAGTAAAGACTAAGTCTTAGAGGTGACGTCACAAGAAAATTATCAAAGGGAATAATTTTCGAAGAGAATTTAGCAGATCCTTTAACTAGACCACTAAATAAAATTTTAGTGGTTTACTTTGAGTATGATGGGGTTGAAACTCTTAAATTATAAAGGTTTACCAATGACGACAACCTTACCTGTCATTACTCAAAAGGTAATCCACGGGTTCAAAGGGTAAAATTAAGTCATTAGATATGTGGAATGGTTTTAGCATTATATAAATCCGCGATAACTCTATCCTAATTAAAATAATGCTGGTTGTTATTAAAATGAGGGCTGAGTTTTAAGTTCTTAATGAAGTTCAGTGCTAAAATACAAGTATTTCTAAATGCAACAAAGGTATTGAAGGAATTTCATCTAAACAAACTTCGAGATGGTGCCGCCTCAATTGAAAATTAGAGCTTCTCTCTTAAAAGTTTGTTGAATAGAATGAGCGCAAGGCTATAACAGCGCTAAGCGAGTTATGAAGAATTTGAAAACATGTGGTACTCGTGTGTGTGTTCAAACCGATATTGTCACATTGAATAATTGATTCGAAGACACGGTTACCTTTGATTCCGACTTTATTTTGTTTGAATTACACTGTGGTTAGATTCAAATCGAAAGATATCTAATCCTTATGCATGAATATCGTATGATTTGAATATGAGGTTTTTTTTATTAAATTTTGAACAAGTGGGGGATTGTTGGAATTGTTGTTCAAACATTCAATAAAAAAACAAAGTGGTATGAAAGTGGAAGTATAAACCAAAAATCGAAGGCCAAAACTACTATATCATGCGATTGCACGAATCCTCATATGCGGTCGCATGTGGCGTTTAGGCCCTGCATTTTGGGAACCTATGCAGTCGCATAGGATTCTTCTATGCGATCGCATAGAAGAGGAAAGTGACCGTTGGGCAGTTTTTAGTTTCAAAATTGGCAGTCTTTCAATTATGTTTTGGCACCACTTCGCATAGCCTTGTTGCATGGCTATATATAGGTGATTTGTAATCATTTCAAGGAAGTGAAAAATCATTACAAACATATGAGAAACATTATTTTCATTCCACAAAAATAATCAAACATCCTTTCTTCCGCATTCAATTCTTCTCTTTTCTGTTCTTCAAGTTGGGTAGAAAATCATTTGTGCTTTTGTGATTTTCTACAACAAGATTTCATCAATCCTTCAAACCGTTAGCCACGAGACCCTTTAAGTACCAAAATTGCTATAAAAAGGGAGGCAAATATCGTTTGAGGACAACGATATAATGTCATGTTTAATCCTTTCATATTCGATTTGTTCTTCACATTTATTTCATCTTCTTGATTTTATGGTTGTTGATTCTTCTCCATTTTCCTCGATTGATGCAAATTTTCGAACAAGGTCTATTCAAATATTTTTTTATTCGTGTGGATCCCACTGCATATGAATGTGAATATATGTTATCTTAATATAACAAAAAAAAAAAATTACGTACAACAAGTGTTAAATCTGATAGGTGGTCTAGAGACTAGAGCTCACTGTTTTTTAGGTGCCTGCAGTTGAGATCTAAGTGCGTGGCAGAGGAGCGTGGTGCGTCCCCACTGACGCTTTTTCTGTACATTCTTTTCATTACGTTGTTTGGCCTCAATAATTGGCTGCTCATTTATAAAAAAATATTGACGAATTCCATCTGATAAAATCCTCCCATTGGAATGACGTGGCACAACTTGAGTTGCTTATTCTCCTTTGTAGGTCTCAACTCAAGTAGTTGTCCGGTTGGAATCCTTCCACCTACTAATCTGACAATTTGACCTTTCGGTCCTATCTTGTACGCACGGCACACGTTAGCTTTTACCACNTTTTTTTATCTAGAATATGTACTTGCTTCAAAGAGTTCATCATCGTTTAAAGGTTTTATCCATTGAAGGAGAAGTTTTTGATTTCTAAGTTTTAAGTGGTTAGGAAAGGAGTGAATTTTGAACAATTGAATTATTTGTGGAGCCGTCTGTTTAATTACAGAACATGTATGTTTATATTAGTAGGAGAAGAAGATAGACTTCAGTTTATAATCGTTTGGGAAGCAGGGTTAATTATAACATCTGAATTTATCGAGATTCATGTTCAATTATGGATATACTTTAAAGATTCCAATAATCATATGAGGGTTATTAAGGCTACTGGATTTTAAGGGGGACTTACTGGATATACTGTAACTTGATTCTTTCTAGAGGCAGCACTACATTCTACATGCTCCAGTGAGGACAATCTGCATTTTTCCATGCCGATGGAAAAGGTTTTTAAGATTGGGATGTAAACCAAAAATATTGCCTATGTTAATAACAGAAGCAGGGATTCATGTAGTCGGCCCCAAACTCATTAGAACTAGGATTTCTTGTTGTATCTAATCTGCAAAACATTCTCTGTCCTTTTATTTATCTTCCTTCTGAGTTCTGAGACAAATTTGCTTTTTTCTGAAACTAGTGGGAGGAAAATGGAAGTGTCAATTCCCAATTCTGTGCATGGTATAAGACTGTTTTGATGAGTCAATACATTGATAATGTCGTCTGCTTCTCTAGATGTAATTGACTATAGGAAAGGGTCATGTTTTCTAGTATATAAAGTATTCAATAGCTGCATATGCAACCTTCTTGATTTTGTTTCTTCATGTTCCAATTGAATGACTGTATTACAATTCCTTTTTATTTTTTCCCCCTCTATTTGCAGTCTTCTTATCAGAACACTGTAGCAATGACAATGAATGACACGGCTGCCATTACTTCTGATATTGCCAATCCCGACATGCAAAAATTTTTGCATGAAGGTCTCACAGACAATACCAAAGATATGGAAGGAGTACAAAATGCCTTGAAAGTTTCATATGAAGTGGATATGACCTTAGCCTACTCTTCTGAAAAGTTAACAAATATGGAAAATCTTTTGTTGCGTGTTCTACTAAGGGAAAATGATATTGGATCAATTTCGGTTGAGGATGATAACATATCCACAGAATCAATTAAAAAGGCTTTAACATTTGATCTGTTGTGCGCTTTTTTGTGTTCTGAGGTGAGAGAACTAGACAATCTAATGGGTGATCTTCAAGATACTATTGTCAATGCCCTTCATGAGATATCTTCTTGTGGACAACCGACAGAATTGCTTACTCGGCTGGAAAGTAAATTATGTGATTCTGAAGAATCACTAAAGCGGTCGCAAGAGCAAGTCGTGGAGATGAAGATCCAATTAGCCAAGTTGCTGATGACCTCATTTTCATTTAAGCAAAATGAATGTAAGATATATCATATTGTCACGATAGCAAACCAATCTAGTTTTTCTTTTACTACAAAGGCGTGTTTGATAGGTAGGATTCAAAAACAATCTCAATGAAGAATAATATGCTAAAATCTTGTTTAGTATAGAGTTCTCAGCAGTGCTGCGTATCACGCACACACACCAAGAGTATACAGTGTTTATCATTCTAAAACAACATGTGCTTTTCGACAGGGAAATATGACTTGGTTGGAAGTTTTAAAGAAGAATTTCAATTAGAAAGCACAGAGTTCCAGCCACGAGTGCAGACAATTGAACAAAGGCATATTTTAAGAATGCTGGAAAAATCTCTTGCAAGAGAGATGGAACTTGAGAAGAAATTAACAGGACTGAAACAAAATGAGGAAGATCTTAAACTGAAGATACGGTTAACAGAACAAGTTGCTGTCTACATGGAAGAGGCAGCAGAGGGAGCTTGGAGCAGGTTCTTAGAGGCAGATAATACAGCAGAGGTGTTGATGGGAATTTCGAAAGAAATGGTGGGCAAGCTTCAGATTGTTCAGTTCAATCTGAATGGTTCAAACAAGAGAGAAGAAGAAATGAAATCTAAACTCCGAGATTGCATAAATCAATTGAACGACAAAGAAATTGCAATAGGAAAACTCAACAGCAGCATTTCACAGCTTATTGCCGATAATTCTGAAGTGACTCATTTAAGGGAACAAGTCAAAATGTTGGAGGAAAAGCTGAACGGAACTGAGTCTCAGCTCAAGGAGGCAAATGCATCTAGTGAAGCGAATCAACAGAAATTAAAAGAAATGGAGGGTGAAATACAGTCCCTAAAGGAAAATATACACAATGCAGAGAGTAGAGCTGAAAGTGCAGAGACCAAAGTTACGCATTTAATGGAGACAAACTTGGAACTGACAGAAGAACTAGGTTTTCTTAGAAGTAGTAACGACAGCAATACAAAAAAGGTGAGCATACTCGAGAAGCAGGTAAGGGAATTGGATATACAGTTGCAGCATGGAAGGGCATCCTCTGAAGCAAGTCAAGAGCAGCAGAACATGCTATATTCTGCAATTTGGGACATGGAAACATTAATAGATGAACTGAAACAAAATGTTACAAAGGCTGAAAATAAGACCGAGAGTGCCGAGGACCGATGTATTATATTGTCCAACACAAATTTAGAACTTAACAAAGAACTAGATTTTCTGAGAGCCAGGATGGAATTTTTGGAGAAATCTGTTAACCAAGCGACTATTGAGAAAAAATCAAGTACAGAAGACATTAATATCAAAACTGAGCTAATTATGGATTTGGTTATGCAACTCACAATCGAAAGGGAGCGAATACAGAAACAGGTTTTTTACTTTTATCTACTTTCTTCTCAATTATTGGTACTTCCAGACTTCCAGTCTCTCTTGTCATGTACTGCCTGCAAGTGAACGAAATTCCATGTTTTTATTCTTATACATTGGGTTATTTGGTGCAGCTGTGCTCTTTGACAAAGGAAAACAAATTGTTGAGAGAGAAGTTCCATGAAGCAAAGAAGCTTGCTTCTGTAGTTCAGAGAGACAATAGCAGTGGTAATAAAGAATTCCCATCATCCGAGTTTGATTCATCTGATGCTGTTTTAACAAAATTTTCAGCAGAAGTGGCAACACAATTCTTGTCAACAAGTTTCCAGGCAGGTTTACCTCTTGAAACTCCCCTAAGTTTCTCTATGGTTCTGGAAATTTTAAGACTGAAGAGATAATGGTACAAATCCTTGTTTTACAGTGGCAAATAATATTGAACTACCAAGTAAAGGATACACTCTTCTCTAGAATGATCTGCATCTATTGAATACTATTTAGTCTAGCCTCCCTGCGGGAGAACCGATTTTCATTTTTACTGGATATACAGTGCCAACAAAATGTGGGAACAACTACTGTAACCATTCTTTGTCCGACTAACAGTAATAATACCCAACTGAAAAGTTGGTAGTGTTGTCAGTTTCTTTATTTGACTAATTAGTTTCCTGTCCTCTCCTTTCAGCAACTGGGAAGTAAAATATTTTCCACTTCTACATGTCTAACTATAGCTTCAGTTTTCGTATCAAGATGGTTTACTGATACTGTTTTAGTTTGATTATTCATTGGATCAATTGTTATTTATCAATTATACATACTCTTTCATTTGTGGTATGACACAACTGGCTTGAATTTCAATTATATTTTCTACCTCTGCAGCGAAATATTGCTTTCTTCAGTGCTATTGGCAAAAAAATTATTCTATCTGAAAGCGTTTGACTAATGGAAAGTGCATTGTAGACTTTCAGTTTTAGTACAGTTATGATTCAATTTGTAATTCTAAACATGGCTTTTGAATATGTGAATCAGGCGGACGAATCACCAGAGGATATGCCCCCAGATCAGAGTGAATTGATTTCCAGTTCTGTAAACAGTGATACAAATTCCATTCTAAAGGTGGAGGCACAGAGAATGGCAAAACCCGGCGATTGTAGGAGAACATCCACCTATGTGGCAATTATTGTTCTGATGCTTTCTATACTGGCAGCACATCTGTTTCACCACCATCTTGCGGCCATTAACCCTTCTGAGAGTTAATTCTTTGCACTTTCAAGATCACTGTGATTCTTTTTTCCTTACACGTATTTCCTGTAAATCCTGTTTGTAAACCAACATGATTCATTTGGTGGCCAGCACTTTTTGTTTATTTATCTTTTTCTAGAATAGGCATCTTTGAATTGAACCGAACAACAAAAATATTCATGTAGCAGACTAAGCTTATTGGGAACAAAGCTTAGTTTGTTCTTCGAAGATAGCTTGTTTGATTCTCCTAGGATTAGTTTCGAATCCCAGACATGGGTGTTGTAAATTTACAAGTTGGTGATTTGTTGAATGTAATTCTATGTTCACCTATTTATTGTTGAAACAACTCCTTAAATTTGTGCACTTGTGGCTGTATAAAGCTTCAATGAAAATTTGTATATTTTAACAAGCGCTGTTTATTTTCATTTATTTTTCTTTTTATCTCAACAATGACAATGATTGGAAGGCTCCATAAATAGCTAAAGAGGCAAATACACATTGAACACAAGCATACAAGTACAATAGATTAAAA